CTGGCGATAAATATTGGGCAGTCGCCAGTTAGTTGTTAGCAGTTTAGGAATCAACATCTGATTAATGTATATTCTTTCCAATGTACATTACCAGCAACCACGATGTCTTTGATTGGTCTCTTTTGTAACTTGTACAGCGAAAGGTTGTAAAGGTTTCGCAAACGCTAATAGGCATAATGATGTGTTAAAAAAAGCAAACAAGAAAACGGATAACTTATTGAAATATACAGATGACTGGAACAGGTAGCCCAGAGTTTTAAGAAGGCCACCGCTTTTAATTGCAGAATTATGATCACACAGTAAATGATTGTATATATTTGTACATAATGTGTGTTTATTTGGAAAATTTCAACGATAAATATTTTTTTGTATCTTTGGGATGCTTGAGTAGTACATGTTTATGAACAATTTTCATTGTTGAACTGAGTAATTGATTTTGTTACAATCAATAAAATTATGATATAATGTAACTAAATTGTAAACTTATCGATAATTATCAGAAGGGGTTTTGTGGAGATTTGAGTAATTTCAGTGACTGAAATCATAAGTCAATTGAAGCTAGACCACCATGGAAAACCTGGAAGCATTGGACGTTGGATGCCGTCTCAGTGGTCCTTGGATTCGAATCGCGCGAGGTGAAGTCGTAGATGCGCACTACTGAGGAGTTCCGTACTAGGACGAAACGGCCATCCAGTGCTTCCAGATTTTCCATGATGGTCTAGCTTCAATTGACTCATGATTACAATTATCGACAATTCATTATTACTTAGTACTTATTAGAAAAATCTTTCTGTTTAATTTACATAAAATACCCAACAATTAAATGTTCAGTTTCTTATTTTATACATCGACTAGTTGTAGTAACAGACGTCATGTTTTATCGAATACAAAGTACTCACATATTAATCAGTTATTATTTCCTCAACTGAAAGTTGATAATTTTAAATACTAATACAATATTAGTTTTGTTCTGTATATAAAGATCAAAAAATACGATTCAATGTCTTAATAATCGGTCAATAAAACATTTTGACCATAAAACATATCGATATATATAATACATCATATCATGTGATGATCGACAACAAAGAATTTAAGCATGAACTACTACTAAATAATGCAACTATTAATGAAAATTGTATCATATTTTTTGTCAATGTATTGGTTACCGATCTTAAAATTAGTATAACACATGACAGATAAGATTATAACAGTATAAAACTCTTTATTGTAAATATTGAACTCTCCTACTGTTAATATTTCTAATGTGTGGAGAAATATGTCATTAAAAATAGATTATGTCATTTTAAGAAAACCATCTTTTTATGGTGATTTATATGGTATACATGGTATATTCTTTTCACAGTTGTATTTATTACATATCATATATATAAATTATTATGGGGTATTTTACCATAGTAACACTTAAACTATGTTCCAAAATTATAGATTGTTCAACAGTGGTCTCACTTTATCAATAAATTTAGGATTTTTTTAAACTAAATTTTGTGAACTTTGGCTAGTAAATGCAAAGGATTCACATATTCGAGATTGTTGTGAAAAATATTGCATCTCCTCACGATGCTCCACTGCCTTGTCGGTTAGACCTTTAGGTCAAAGGCTCAGGGTGTGGCCCCCTAAGAAAACCACCTGCTTCGGTCTGGGCACCCGGGCAGTATCACAGCCCTCGCACAAATATGATGAACTATCGATAATTATGGAAATTAGTTTTCTTGCTTCAATTAATAATCAAACGATTCACATTATTATTATTATTATTATTATTATTATTATTATTGTTGTTATTATTATTATTACTGTTGTTGTTATTATTATTATTATTATTTACTACGTCATTTATACCAGTCAATCATTTTGTAAATCGGTTGAAACTTGTCAAACATAAAAACAAAGTGTCGGAAATCCTACTAAAATTTTATGTTACCTTCATTTGTATTGGTTATTTAGATCTTTCCATTGATATTTAGGACTGCAAGCGATCAGAATTTTTTGCCGATTCGCATCCTTTGTGAATGGTCTCGATACTACCATCAAGTCACAAGGATTATAAACAGAGATAGCTGGTGGCTAGCATCAGAATCCAGAACTCTCGTTTTGTTCTATTTAGACATGTCATCTGGATTTATTATTAGCTATCAATAAATCCATCTTACCTTATTATACAAAATTTTCAATGTTTTCAACAATAAATTCAATATATTGTCAAAATGGTTAACTGGTTCATTGGATATGCTACAATTATAACTCAAGAAAGATACTCATCAATTAGAAGAGACAAAAAGCTATGGAGTTAGGTTGGTGAGACTATAATTTATTGACGACCTTTGAACAACACTAAAGTGACCTTGTGAGTGTCAACCTACTTATTAAAGCTAAATGAGAGTTATAAAGCAGTTTGAAGAATAAGAATCATGATTCGCAGTTGATGATTGGGTTTAGGAATCAGATTTACGACTTTTCATCACGAACTGGAATCAGCTAAAATGCCAGGAGGCTAATTGGCTAAATGGATGAGTGAACTTCACGCCGAAATCCGAGACTTGTTATTTTATACCTGATCGCTTCGTCCATAAATTATAGTCGCACCTTTAGGTTTACTATAAAATGGTTTATTTACGCCGTTCAGCGTGAAAAGAATTTGGCTTGTCGTAATGAATAACGGCAATTTTAGTATATCACAATAAAGTGTCTCATAATGATGAAGATATAAATTCCATCGTTGATAAAGTAACCAACAAATAGTCCTATTAATAAGTGAGTCAGCTACGTGTGATAGTAAATGACCAAGACAATCTACATCGAGCTATTATTTACATTCGAATCAAATTTAACAGTGTTCATTTAGAAAAGAATATTTCGTAACTGAAATATTCCCATTCAAACGTTAAGAATTATAGAAATACTACAATAACAGTAAGATACTTTAAATACTGTAGATATTATGTGTAGTGCTAAAACAATTTCACCGTATAAAGCATTCCATTTATACTGACAATTTATTCTGGATTTTTATGTTTACATATTAAGGGCTTTATGTTCATAGAAAGATTTTGCTTAAATATACCAATCACATCGATTTAAGCGATCGATTGCAGTCTACACAATGTCAATTATAATCCTTTGCTAATAATAACCCTTGGTAACCTTTGATTGATTGATTTTATAACATGTTATTACTATATATAAACGTAATGTTTATTACTATAACTATAACATGTTAATGTTTACTTATCATATGTATGTTTAGATAAAACATTAAGATATATATTTATAATAATTAAAAACATATTGTTCATTTGTTTATTAGTAAGGTTCACCTCTGAAATATTTCATGTTTAATGTTTATAAGTAGCTGATAATCTGATTTAATGAATATATGCAATTCAAATACAGTAGCATATACTAGTTGCGTAAACTTTATAAATGTTATCACCTAAAATCTAGTCATTTTCGTGTGGTCATAGGTTTAAATTATAATGTATTTTACGACATACTTTACTACCTATCCAAAATATCTGTTTATTAGTATAGGGGTTGTGGAGATCGCTAAGTTTTTAATTGAAATCATAAATCGATTGATGTTAGACCACCATTGTAAACCTAGAAGGTTCAGTGGTCCAGTAGTAGAGACTGAAGACCCTGGGTTCGAATTTTGCGAGTGGAATCGTGGACGCGCAATGCTGAGGAGTCCCACAATAAGACGAAACGGCTTCCAGGTTTTCAATAGTCGTCTAACATCGATCGGTTCATGATCTCAAATAAAAGTATCTGTTTATATTTAGTTTTAAACTGAATGTAATATTAGAACAGATTATTTATATTGCGGAAAAAGAAAGCACATCGAAAATGATCTGCAAACAATCCTTAAATGTTTAATGAACAGGGTATTTTCTTAAAAGTGATCAAACCATGAGATAAATCTTGAGCTGTATTATAATTATCTAGAAACAATAACTATGACTTCCGTTTTCATTGTTTACATTATTATTTAACCGATGAACTGATGAATTGAAACATTATAAGCAAAGATGGATAGTGGCTAGCAGTGGAATCCAGTTTAGACGCATATTTCGGCCTATTTTGGACTCATCAGTTGGATGTACTTGCGTCTCAGAGTTGACGTTCACTCTGGAACTCGAACCCACTACCGTCCGCATCAAACTCCATTGCGTTATCTACTTAACTACTGAATCCTGATAAACATTTGCTTGTACGATTCAGTGAAGTTTAAATTCACTTTATATTGTTTACTTGAGTCTTCTCATTGATGTTTAGGACTGCAATTGATCAATATCTTATTGATATATGTGTATACTGTGCGTATTACCTTGACATTGCATTAATTCACAAGAATTTTAAGCAAAGATGGATAATCGCTAGCAGTGGAATCCAGAATCTTTCCACCTAAATTACAAATTATATATAGAATACTTTTCGAAAGGTGAAATAGTATTTGATCTACTTATGCGACAGAAGTTCATCATCTATCTCCTAACACATACTGTCTATTTAAAAAAAAATCTAAAAAAATTTTGTTTAAATCCAATGGATGTAAATAATCAAATAAATTTTTAATTGATATCTCAAAGCATTATTGATTATTGCTAGATTACACTTGTATAAACATACATTTTCATTGTAAGCAATGATGAATAGTGGCTAGCAGTGGAATCCAGTTTACACGCACGTTTGGGCCTATTTGGGACTAGTCGGCTGGACGTTGATGTTCACTCTAGGGCTCGAACCCACTGCCGTCCGCATCAAACTCCATCGCGTTATCCACTCAGCTGCTGAGTCCTGATAGCCACTTACTTGTGCAATTCACTTGGTATTGTTTGGCTTGTATCATCCCATTGAGTTTTTTAAGACTGCAATTGATCAATCTCTTTTTCATTATTATTCAAGTACTTAAATAATTTTACCAGATCCTTTCCATTTTTTTCCCATTTGTTTTTTTTTTCTTTGATTTTTAATTAAAGCATAGATAAATGTCATCTACTACAGCATACCACACGTATATTTGATAACGCTGGTTACTTAGAGTTTCGTGAAAGTGATGGTATTGAAATATTTGTACCACAACCTGTTCCTGTAAGTTATTTACCATTTATTTTATTATTGAATGTCAAGTAATTTTTTTCTAGCTTTTATCTTAAATCTTATAATGTTTTATCGAATTTTCTTTTCTAGAACAAAACCAAGTGTCCCTTTAATATCATTCCGTAAAAAAGCTATTTCTTTATTGTCATTTACTTTTACAATTTGTCAATTCTTGCATATTACCTATTATTCTTTACTGTTCTCCATTATTCTTTCCCGGGCTTTTGAGAAAAGACTTCGCTGTATTACGGAGAGTGTTGAAGGCAGTTAGCAAGGTGTGTGGTGAATCTTTCGAGGTCGTAATTAATATGGCTGTGAATAGACATCTAAAGTCATGCAAACTCCTGGCAGGTGTTATTTTATCAGATACTAGCCATCTCCTTCACTCATATCTTTCTCCTTGTACATTTTCTAGTAGAACGAGACGTAATTACATTAAAATCCATGCACACAAGCAAAAGTATAAAAGTTCTATAGTACCTTACCTAGTAAATATACTCTTTGACGAACAGGTTGTTTAAGTTAACCTCGTCAATAACCTGCATTCTTAACATGTCTCTAATTTGAAAAGTTGTACAATTTTTCAGATTTTTTTAAACCTTTTTTCCCTTTTTTGTCTTTGTTTCTGTCCTTTTTTGTGTAAGAAACTTGTTGAAATACCCTGTACTGAGAAGTTCTAAATTGTACCAAAATATAATAATATTGAATAAAGGCACTATTATTTATAATAATAAATCTGATTATGAAAACATAGAACTATTCATTTTATGCTTAGATGATTGTACAAATTATGTAGACTTAGTAAACGTGGTCAAACAAGCTGATTTTTGAACTTGAGAGTTAAAATTTTAAAAAAAACACCTTCAAAATACAAATAAGATGTAATGCATATACCTTTTTGACATTTACTAACGATCATTTAAGATTTAGTATACCAAGTACAAACTTTATAGTGGTATAAACTGTTCTTTTGTATTGATTATGTAAATCAATGATAGATAAAGCAAATTTCGACAGGACAAGTTTAAAGCTTAGAAACTTCTAACGTTTAAAATCAATGATACTAAATAGTATTTTATATTGATCTTAACAGCTGAAATCGAAAATATTGTAATCAAATACGACACATTTTGCAAAGAAGGTAAGCAATAGTTGAATTTTTTCTCAGAGTAGGTCTTAAGAACCGCCAAGCATAATTTCATGTTTTGAAATTGTTCATCACTTAGTGAAATCAGCTTATCGGAAAACCTTTAATTCCACGCGATACATTTTACTAACATAATATACGTTTGTAAAAATTTCAGATCAAGGATAACTCATCACAATTTAAAGTAGAAGATGTGAACGCTTAAAATGAATTTCGAAATTTTAAAATGTGAAATAATTTTTTAGGATTGGCTTATATTTGGTTTGATCACGTTTACTTCTACGTCATAATATGGCCTTTGAAAGTTGAAGATAACAGGTGTCTTTGAAGAATGTCTTGGGCATGGTGGAACAACCCAGATATTACCTACATTTGTGTAGTATGGAATATCAAATAAGAGTTCATATATGTCTAACAGTATAGATCTATCCATGAAAACATTGACTACTAGGCTGAACTACGTAAAGAATTCACCAGTTTCTTCATCATAGCCACCATGGCAACCGTAAGGTATGATCAAGAAACTCAGATAATAATCTCGGATATATGTTAAAAATGCAGCTTATATACACATTATTCGTGATAAACCATCAGTCTAAAATTTCCATTTATTGAAATTTTGATATTACGCATTTTAAATGAATAGAACTACTTATTACAAATCAGTAGAGATATATTTTAAATAAAAAATTTGCTTAGGTAGTTAGTGATCGAATCAGTCCTCATAACTGGAATAAATACATTTTACATAAAAAAAGTAACTGAATACTAATGAGTCCAGAATGCCACTTCCAAGTATGGTCATAATACATATATTTTTGCTTAGTGGGAAATGTTCGGTTTATTTTATTCTCAAAATACAAACTAGATTTTCACTGATATAACCATCTGAACATTCGGTTAACTTTCAGTACCTCAAAACGAATAATTTAAATTTGATATTTCTTTCTCTTTATTTATCTAGAACGAATATACATTTACGTTAGGTATATTTGAGCAAGATATTTTTGGATCCGTTGAAGTGATTGGTACATTGGTCGCTAATCATTTTTCATTATTACCAACAAACAATTGGACAAACATAAGAATGTCCAGAGAAAATGATCAATATAAAAATACCATTTAGTAAGTCATCTTAGATGGAAAAAAATAAATGGACTATGCTTTTCGACATTTTAAAACATGATACTCAGTCTGTATTTCAGTTACTCAACTCCAAATGAGGGTGATGTTGCAAAAGTGATTATTGATGTTGAATGTGTATGTTGAATACATTATGATGTTTCCAAATACGTCTGGATTGATTAACGCATGTAGCAAAGCAACAATAAGATTCAAATGATATCGAATGATTCAAGTAAATTTAAATTAACAACAATTGATCGGTAAACATTACGGATTAGTTTGTTTCTATGATGGGATTGGGTTTAAGTAATGAATCATTCTGTAATGTATCAAAGTGAAACCATAAATAATATGTCACTATTTAGTCTGAAAACATAGAACATTTGAAAAATTAGATATTTTTTCGTTTGATTTTTCAGATACCTTCTGGAATAACGTAAAATATCTAAGTCAATAATGTGTTTGTCGATCTTAGTCATTATAAAAGGGTCAATATTAATTGAAATAAATTGGCGTTAATTAAACGAAAACACATGACAAAGAAATTTTGTAACCATGATTAATCTAACACTTTAACAACGTACATCTATTCACAAACTAATAGAGACATTTATGAACAAAACTGTTATAACTTATGGGTCAGCAAGGCGAATTCTACAATTTTTTATGAAATAATATTTACAAAATAGGTTGAGCATTCGGTCAACGTATACATTAAATCATACAAACGATTGACTGAACTAAATTTTGAAAACTTTCAAAACCTTGTTGGTTTTTATTTCATCTGCAGCCTGCTTAATTGGGTATCTGATATACCAATAGAATGTAAATATATTATTTTGTGTTGTTCATTGAATTGATTGTTCTCGATGATCTAAACATTATAAGTTTATCAGAATGGGTTTTGTGGAGATTTTTAGAAATTTCACTGGTTGAAATCATGAGTCAACTGAAGCTAGACCACAATGGAAAACCTAGAAGCACTGGGGCTCCTCAGCAGTGCGCATCCACGATCCCGCACCCCGCGAGATTCGAACCCAGCACCTATCAGTCTCGCGCCAGGCGCTCAACCAACTAGACCACTGAGCCGGCTAGCATCCAACAGTGTTAATGTTTAACTTCAACCAATCCACGAAGTTGTGCCACCGTATACCATTGTCTCCAGTGAGCTGATATCTCACAACAGACCTGGTTGAACTCCACTGGTCACTGCTTCTCACTAGAACTTCAGGAGTGTCTCCTGAAGTCAGTCACTAGTGAGCAGGTGATTAATAATAAGTTTGATGATGGCTGAAAATGTGAATTTATACTAATAAAGTGCCTAATCAAAAAGAAGTTTTCTTGAAACTAACGAAAATCCACTAATAGATTCAATACAAGCTCATCTACTAGAACCTATATGTTAAATCTATTTTCCACTAATACATAAATAAACGATTAGTTATGTTCACTATTGATATTTAAAGTTATGATTATTTGTTCCATAAGCCTGATTGGAAACCATGATAATGAATTGCATTGTACATGATTAAAACTTTATTTCGTAATACTCAACACAATAGATTCTGATTTTGGTTAACATTCCAAGAATGTACGTGAATGATCCAATTTGTTATATATGGATAAGTATCAAGCTTAGGCAACAAATAATCGAATTTTTTATGTACACATTATTTTGCCTAGTTAATTGACTGGAATCTATGTATATGACATAGATTTTATTCAGAAGTAATGAAACACGGGAAATCTAGAGAATTAGTGTATTTAGTGATCCTAAAGCGAAATGTAACATCATTTCTGTTATATCCGAGCGAAGATTAAATCACGGGTAACTCCTGAGACATATTAATTAACTAATATATATTCTCATGGTATAATTATTCAATAATTAGATTACGTATATTTAGATTCTTATTATTATAAGCTTTAATTTGACTCATAGACTAATACTATACGATTTATCATTCTTGAGTTACGGCCTGTCTATTAATTACTATCTCCCTCATTCAAAGCCACTTTTCGGCTTTATTGTGTACACATGTTATATTCTATTTCATGGGACGTTATGGTTTGTCTGGTTGATATATAAACCGAGTATGTTTGAAATAAATTATTCGTATTGCAGAAGCTGGTGTTTGTGTTCTGGACTCAAGGGGACGGGATAGGCGAACATAGGACCAATAAGGACGCTAGACTGCTCATACCGGGTGAACATCAATGGTTCTGTTATAGTGCGAAGATTGTATAATTCGTATTTTGATTGGTGGATAAATCACGTGATAAAAGCCGGACATAAAACCATAACAATTTCGACTCAATAAGAATATTGTATATTGTTAATTTAATTATTTCATAGACAGTTTCTCAAATGTCTTTGATGTGTTTAGTGTCGTAGTTTATTTGTTGGTCGAATAATGCCGTTGTTTGAATTAGAAAAACAATGAATTTATATTTAAAAGGAATGAAAAAGTATAATCTAATCAAGATTTAAATGCTTTAACATAAATGATTGTTGTTTATACCTTCGTTTATTTATTTTTTTTCTTACTCCTTTTTAAAATTTAGCGTTAATGTAAGAATGCGTCTTAGTTGCGTAAAAGACTATTATGGCAATCATTGTCACATTTTCTGTAAACCAGAACCATCTCGATATACTTGCAGTTCAGATGGTTCTTATATTTGTCTCCCAGGTATGTTTATTTTATCGTCAGAAAGTGATGATTCATGGGTAATGGTTATCTTTAATGAAAATATTTTTAGTGTGATAGAAAATTAACTCAAAGAAATCTCAATAAGAGCTTCAAATTACAACTAAATATGGTTGCTTCAAAGTTCAGTTATAGTCACATCAGAATTATATCGTGGACAGTACGGGGTTTTTAATTGTTTCAAACTTTAGTGAAAGGAATAACGTAACTTATCTTTCGATATGTAAACGTACTGAATAAATCTAAAGGGTTCGTAAATTTTCTAAATGAATAATTTATTGTAGTGTTTATTAGAAACAGCCATCTTTGAAGTTTATGCCATTTAAATCTACTGACCGTAAAATGAGTGTACTTCGACTACACTATAAGTGACTAGCGGCCTGCTTGAATATCTGGGCTATTTGTTCCTGTTTTCTGGATATTTCAATCAGTTATCTGTTTTCTTGTTTGTTTTACACACTATTATCCCCATTACTTACTTACTTACGTCTGTTACTCCTCGTGAAAGAGCTTAAGACGCTCACCAGTATTCGCCATCCAACCCTGTCCTGGGCAATCCCTTCCAGCTCCTTCCAATTTTTAGTCATCCTTTCCATATCTGCTTTTATTTCCCGAATTATGCCCATTAGTCGTATGTGAAAAGTTGATTACATTTCGCTGTACAAATTACAAAAGAGACCAAACCGAGACATCGTGGTTGTTGTCAATATGCATCGAAGTAAATAAACATTATTCAGATGTCAATTCCTGAACTGTTAACATATGACTGGCGACCGCCCGATATGTATTGCAAGGATCGATGAAAAAATAAGGAAAGGAAACTTGTTGAAATTCTGTATTGTATCGAAAATATAGTACTGAATAAAGCCAATAATAATAATAATAATAATAATAATAATAATAATAATAATAATAATAATAAAACTATAAGTGAACCCAAAACTAACCCGGAGATGGAATTGATTGCCAACAGTTAAAATTAAATTTCTGATTTTGGCTTATTTTCATTAAAAACAAAGTATGATTTTAGTTGTGTCATCAGTTATTACTATAAGACCACTCTGTTATAATGAGATATTTTATTTTTAACAACTATATTTAACCATGTTTCGTAACTTAAATTGTTTTAACACGTTTTTGAATTAAAATTTGACACTTTTATGTTCCCATTTCACTGTAGTATGAGGAGTAAAAGTTAAAGGTGTGTCATAATGTAAAACTATTCAGATAGTGACTAAGCTATTCCAGGACTAAGATGGTGGCAATAATCACTCCATGTATGCTGACTAATTTAATATCAATCGGATTCTGTTCGTCATAGGCCAGTAGTGTATCATGTATTTATGAAATACTGATTAAACTATTCATGTATTTACCATTTACCTTGTTTGTTACAGTTAATTTACAACAAGTATGTTTTCCTATTTTAGGGCTTCGAGGACCAAAATGTGATAAAGAGGATTCATGTTTCTATGAACCATGTGCTGATCATGCAACATGTGTAAATAAAGATGATGAAAGTGGACGTATCTGTTTATGCAATGGACAAGAAAGTCAGTTGTTTATTTTTATCTCGAAATGTTTTATTCAAAATTTCATGTAAGGTGTTCACTATTCGTAGTGAACATGTAGTCAATTATCAACTAAGTTAATTTAATTTAACCTGTTTCTAAATTTAGCTATTCATTCTGAATTTCGCCAGTTTATTTAAACGATATATCTACTTTACACAGATCACATATTCTTCATTTGAATTTGATAAATGTTTGTGCATTCTTTCAGTACTCATTCCACTTACATAAGTTTTGAATGTCTTTTTTTAAAGTGACCAATCTTTCAGTGTTGTCATACTGAATGGTTTCAACTCTGTACTTTATTTTCCATTTAATTTACAAACTAATCAAATTTAGACAACTATTTAAAACCTGAAAGCACTAGATAACCATTTCGTTCTAGTATCGAACTCATCAGAAGTGCGCACCTTTCACATCGTGAGCGGAAATTGAACCATCAGCTTCATGAGCGACCAGTGAGGCTAAACTATGACGTGTGACGTAGAGGAACTCTCCGAAGAAAGTAAAATGATGGTCGCTCAGTATCATAGATTGACTGAAGTTAGACTTGTATACCACTGGATCTGGCCTCAGTGGTATTGGGTTAGATTCCTGCTTACATATCCTTAGATGCTTACGTGTAATCTCATGCCAGGAGGAAACAGCCATCCAGTGTTTCCAGGTTTATAAGGGTTATCCGACTTACAATGGTTCATGACTTCGATTAAATTTAGCTATCTCCATAAACCTATAGGGATTATGATCATTACTTTGTTTTTACTTTACTTTACCAGAACCGGAATGCTATCCAAATTATAATCCATGTGATTCAAAACCTTGTCAAAATGGTGGTGAATGTCAATTAGCTGGACATTATAATGAGAGTTACATATGTCATTGTCCTGAACAATGGACAGGTCATAAATGCAATGAAAGACGTTCGGCATGCTTAGAGGAGGCAGCAAAAGTTCAGCGTAATAATAATTTGTCCACTGACCATTACAACAATTCAACTGAAGTAACGTCCGTTTGTTTAAACGGCGGTACGTGTTTTGATCATCCAATCAGATTTGAAGTTCGTTGTGTGTGTTTACCTGGTTGGATAGGATTAAGATGTGAAATACCTGTTGAAATAGAAACAGCAGTAAGAAAAGTTTTGAAGTTTTTTTTTATTATCGATAAATCTATTATGTTAATAAGTCTATTATGTATCATTCCACTCAGACAGTTGTTCATTGACCATGAAGAAGTAGATAGAATTTTACTGTGCTTTAATGACATAGACCGTTTATCAAGCAGGTACGATGTTAAAGCACAATATATATATCCAATTACAGGTATGGTGGAACATTGGGACAACTTACCAAAACTGGATAACATCGAAAAAATATTACACAAATGTGCAGAAATGATTTACATTTTCCGGGAAGATTTTGGAAAAATGAGACAATGGATATGAGTTCATAACTTTCAGGGTAGAGTGGAATTTCATTTTGTCCTCTGAACTAATTTATGCTTAGTATATTTGAACTAAAAATACCTACTTTAATGGTTTCATTTACATAATGACGATTTGTTCTTACAGTTAGTAACAGGAGTTTAAATTCAGTATCAGTATCCAGATGTAAAAGGCGAAATAATTACTACGTTGTTCAAAGCTTTACTTATCATGATAACTGAAAAATTCATCATCGATCTATGTCGCCCAGTGTATTGAGATTAAGCTTTTTAAGTTTTGAGCGTAGAAAATCAGTATATATATCCTTCTGTTTTTCAGAAATCAAATTGGATATTAATAACACTCATTAGTGTCGGAATTGTTTTATTTATCACGGTTGTTCTTCTTACAATTGGAGTTATCTGGAAATGTTTCATCAGGAAGTAAGTAGGTTGTGATTAAAGTGTTTGACTTATTTAAAATGAATGTTATACTGATGACATATGTAACCCTAGAATTATTGCGTAAGGATAGATCGCGTATCGACCAAATCCCAACATTACGAATCATTGTGGAACAACCAGTTGAATGGAATTCACCACTCTACATCACCTTCATTGAATACGAGAAAGCATTTGATAGTGTGGACTGGACAACACCATGAAGGCTTCTTCGACTCTACGGCGTGTTTAGGACGATAGTCAGCATAATACGGAATTCTTAGAATGGATTAAACACAAAATTGTGCATGGAGGACAGCTAACAGACTCGTTCGACGTGTAAACTGATATCGGGAAAGATTGCCTACTCTCACCTTTTCTCGTGGTGATCGACTGGATCATGAAGACGTCAAAATCTTGAGGGAAACACAGGATACAGTGGACAGCTAGGATGAAGCTGAACGATGTAGACTTTATAGATGATCTGTCTCTTTTATCGCACACGCAGCAACAACTGTAGGAGAAGTCGACCAGTGTAGCAGCAGCCCCAGCAGAAGTAGTTCTCAATATACACAAAAGGAAGCACGATTCCTGATACAACACAGCATGCACCAATTAAATCACACTCGACGTAGAAGCTTTGTAGGATGTAAAAACCTTTACATATTTGGGCAGCATCATTGATGAACACGGTGGATCTGATGCAGAGCAGCATATCTACGATTGAAGAACATTTGGAAATAAAAACAACTGTCAACTAACATCTAAGTCAGAATTTTCAATACAAATGTCAAGACAGTTCTACTGTATGGGGTGGAAACTCGGATAATTACGAAAGCCATCATCTAGCAGATACAAGTGTTTATTAACAGTTGTCTACGCAAAATACTTCGGATGTGTTGGCCAGACACTATTAGCAACAATCTACTGTCGGAGAGAAAAAAAGTTTCCAGCGAACGAAGAAATCAGGAAACGGCTGTGGAAACTAATAAGTCACGCATTGAGGAAAGCACCCACTGCTTGACAAGGCAAGCCTTCACATGGAATTCTTAAGGCCAAGGGAGAAGAGGAAGACCAAAGAACACCTTATGAGGAGGAATGAAGACAGATATGAGTAGAATAAACAACTATTACATAGAATTAGAAAGGAACGCCCAGGACAGACTGGGTTGAAGAGTGCTGGTCGTCGGCCTTTGTTCTACTGGGTGTCACAGGCGTAAGTAAGTAAGTAAGCAACCCTAGAATTGTTATGAGATTTATGAAATGCATAGCTAATTAACTATAAGAGCAATTGTATAATGTTCATCACAATCAACTATTTAATTTCATGATGATACTCAAGAAACAAAACTTTAACTGGATGTTACTATAAGAAGATAATATTCAGAGAAGATCCACGTTGCTTGTTAGTAGTGGAAAATATTGTATGAGAGCGGATAACATTATGACATGTAAACTCTATTATCATTAAATGATATTTATTCAACTGATGTGAGAATTTTTCTTTTTATACATTTTATATGGACAATTTAAATATTTCTCTTATTTTAGCCATAAATTCATCACATACATTGCCAAACTGTAAATTAATAAGTTGGGAAGGTGATATTGATCTTGTATAATCAAACTGTCAAATATTTCCTATCATAGATTTTTGTTATTTATCCATAACAGACGATTACTATAAATGATTAGACTAGGTTAGAAATAGACTGTTAGAAATTGAGGATGTTTTATAGTTCGGAAAAGTAGTATTAACCTCTGTTATATTATACAGTTTTGAAAGAAATATATAGAGAACAGGCGGCCTATATAAATATCTGAACTACCTATTCCTGACATCTGGATATTCCAACAAGATATATGTTTTCTTGTTTATTTTAACACACCATTATGTCTATTTGTGACATAACTAATTCAGGTGCGTTTATGAAGTGTTTACTACATTTCGCTGTACAAGTTACAAAAGAGACTAATCAGAGACATCGTGGTTACTGTCAATATGCATCGAAATAAATATACATTTATCAGATGTCGATTCCTGAACTGCTAATAACTAACTGGAGACTGCCCAATATTTGTCGCAATGATCCACTGAGAAATAGGAAAAAAAGACTTGTTGACATACTTTGTGCTGCGAATTCTATATTGTACCAAAAAATATAATATTGATAAAGGCACCAATAATAATAATTTAGTCCTTATATAAGTAGTCACATTAAAATGATTCTAGAAAAAATTTGTCTATTCTGAAAAACAATGTTTAAATAAATCTCTACTTCACTGATGAATTTAAAAAAAATGCGCATAATTTACATTCCTAATATTAACATTATTTCTATGAAATAGTTAAACATTCAAGAAATAAAAAGACATTTCATTCTTGAATTTACTTAGGTTTTATCTAATCTTCAAAATATCTTATAGTTTCTAAAACGTAAGTTGAAAGAATACTTCATTATCGTGTATTTGTATACTAGAACTACATATTGTGACTACTCCATTCAGTTACTTACTTACTTACTAACATCAGATGGGTTTCGTGGAGACTGTAGTAATTTCAATGGTTAAGATCATGAGTCAGTTGAAGCTAGACCACCATGGAAAACCTGGAATCACTTGACGTTGGATGCCGTCTCATTGGTCTAGTGGTTAGGCGCTCGCGCGCAGGGGGCGAGGTCGTGGATGCGCATCGCTGAGGAGTCCCGCAATAGGACGAAACGGCCGTCCAGTGTTTCCAGGTTTTCCGTAATGATCTAGCTTCAACTGACTCATGATCTTAACCATTGAATTTACTTACTAACGCCTGTTACTCTTCGTCGAGGAGCATAGGCCGCCCACCAAAATAAATAAACTGATTGTAGTCTGAATACCTTTTTAATTGCATCAAATGTTTATGTAAATTCGAATCTTTACTAAAGTATTATGTTTTTTTTTATATGAGCTCTATGTAAAGTGTTCATAAACTTAATCAATAATATTAGACTCGATTACTGTCATAGTGGTTACAGGTAGATGATATTATTGATTTATTGATTTAACATCAATATAATTATGAATTAACTTAAATAATACAAACTTTTATATTAAAAACATTAAAATAGACGTTTGAAAGCAGAGATGAATAAAAATAGTCTGATCTTTAACGTGGGAACTCAATGCTCATGTATGCAACTCATTTACTCAGTAAGAGTATATAATATGAAAAGTGGCTTTACATAAACGCTATGACTTTTAACCAATTCTTAACTGGTCAGAAAACAGATTGTCTGTAGAAAAGAAAACAATAATATTACAAAATGCAAGCAGGTTTAACACATTTAATGAGTCTATTAAAGTCTTCTGTGGGTTACTCTACCTATAAATTAAACAAGCAACGACATACACGAATTCACCTAAATGCACATAGATCACCTGTTTTCTCTAAGACTTTGAAGGGTCTAGATGGGTTTTTTAAAGTTCCCGGTAAAGTATCTAGGATTCATACTAGGGATTTGATATTTAAGTCTTCATCATAAAATGACATCGGTGATAATAAGAAAATGCTTTGTTGCCAAATCGATGAGCCAACTTCCTGCTAAACTCCTAGAAGAGTCAGCTTGAATGTTTTTAATTCGTCAACAAAATATAGTGTCAGTGTTTTAAGTCTTTTTCCTAAATTGAGGGTTAGAACGTAGAGATAATGTTGGTTCGTTAGTTATATACAATCTAAATAAAAAGAATTGAGTTTATTACGTTTGATATCATTAGTTTTATTATATGATATATATATAGATCGGATAAACTGTTTGATCTGAAATGATTGCATAACGATTGTTTTTTAAAAATAAAAATAAAATATTTGTAATATCCTAATGAGTAGAAAATTAGATTTTCTGGCGTTTCGTGACTTAGTGTAAGTCACTTCTTCAGAGAATAAATAACCAAATTAAAATTAACCCAAGTTTAAACAGTACAACGGAACAATGCAAGAATAATATTTGATCACAGATTGAAATCATGAGTCAGTTGAAGCTAGACCACCATTGAAAACCTGGAAGCACTGGACGGCCGTTGTGACTGACTTCAGGAAAAACTCCCGAAGTTCTAGTGAGAAGCCGTTACCAGTGGAGTTCAACCAGGTCTGTTGTGAGGTAGGAACTCACTGAAGACAATGGTGTACGGTGGCGCAACTTCGTGGATTGGTTGAAGTTAGACATTAACACCGTTGTATGCCGGCTCAATGGTCTAGTGGTTAAGTGCTCGCGCGCGAAGCCAGTAGGTCCTGGGTTCGAGCCCCGCGTGGTGTGGGGTCGTGGATGCGCACTGCTGGGGAGTCCGAAACTAGGACGAAACGGCCGTCCAGTGCTTCCAGGTTTTCAATGGTGGTCTAGCTTCAACTGACTCATGATTTCAGTCTGTGGAATTTCTAAAATCTCCACAAAACCCATTCTGATAATATTTGATCAATCAAAAACAGGTCTGAACAAGTTGATGTCATGTCATTTCGGTCAAGGTGATTCGTAAGTGATATGTATGTAAATTTGTGTGTGTATGTATGTGTGCATTGTTTAAGAATGAAAACTTGTGTGACCTTTGTGGTGAGAAAGGATAGAGTTCAATTTATAATATGGTAGTGTGAATTGTAAATATGATCAGACTGATTGGCTAGGATAGATGGTTCAAGTAGGATGTATGATAAGGCCTTCTTTTCTATTGAGAGAAGTAGGATTAGTCATTATATGGAACACCTCAGCTACCCTCCTTTCTTTGTAGTTGGAAAAGCCTTTTTGAAATATTTTGGTATTTTTAAAATCGATTTGGTGGTTGTTGAAAATGGCATGAACTGCTATTGCCGATTTAATTTGAAGTTGGTTCAATTCTCCAGGATTGTTAGGTTTCTTTGTGTATCTAATATGTTCTTTGGCTCTAGTCACGATTTCGCGGGATGACTCTCCAATATGATAGGCATCACAATCGATACAACCTAATTTGTAGACGCAGTTCTGTGTGGACATGAAAGGGATTTTTTCTTTCAGGCGAACTAAAGTATTACGTAGTGTGTTCGTTGTTTTGTAATATACTTTAATTCTGTGATGCTTTAAGATTCTTTGGATTTCTTCTGTTGTGCCATGACGATATGGTAGAACTGCAGTACCAATCCATGGCATTTCATTCGAATCATTATTATAACGCAATAAACTGTTTTGTTTTAATATACTTCTAATAATCTTCATAGGAAACTTATTAAATTGTAAGACGCTGATTACATTCATTTGTTCTTTTTGTTTGCCTTCCTCTGATGTGATGATCTTGTTAGCTCTTCTAAAAAGATTTACGGCTAGCGAGATCTTAGTGCTGAAAGGATGTGCTGAATAGAAGTCAATATAACGATTTGAGTGCGTCGGTTTTCGGTAAATGGATAGGTTTAAACTTCCATTTGGATTTCTTTTTACTAAGCAATCCAAGAATGTTAGCTCACCATGTACATTTTCATTTTCATTGGTGAATTTGAAGTGTGATGAAAGCGTATTTATTCGTTTAGAAAAAGATCTTAGATGAGTCTTTTTTATAACAACAAAAGTATTGTCTACATATCTAAGCCATAATTTCGAATAAATTGCGCATTGGGTTGATTGTTATAAATAAAAATAATATATTTGTAATATCCCAATGAGTAGTACATTCATAACATAAATATCAACCTCTGTGATAGTAATCCACTTGAACGCGTGATAGTAACTAAATTTCAATATGAGACATATACATTATGAGATTTTATCATTAAATAAATTAGTTTATTTTACATTTTATGATTATAATTCCTCATAATTCATCAGTTTAGTCATAAACTATTATTGGTTCTAAAGGATAGTCTCTATGAAACTCATTTTGGCTGAAAAATCAAAATTTAATAAGCTGTGAAGTTGCACTATAAATTGGTAGTCAGTATATTCATAGAATATATATTGTTGAACAAAGCAAATAGATGCTTAACAAACTGATATTAGTACACAAATTAAACTACATTTTTTATTAAATTGAATTAGCCGTAATGTCTAAAACTAAACAGTAGAACTACGAAAAAGCATTTGCTAGCGTGGACAAAACAACACTATGGAAGCTTCTTCGATACTACGGCGTGCCTCAGAAGATAGTCAATATCATACGGAATTCCTACGATGGATTAAACTGCGAAATTGTTCATGGAAGACAGGTCACAGACTCTTTCGAAGTAAAGACCGGTGTCAGGCAAGGTTGCTTACTCTTACCCTTTCTCTTTCTCCTGGTGATCGACTGGATCATGAAGACGTCAAAATCTGAAGGGCACCATGGGATACAGTGGACAGATAGGATGCAATTGGAAGATCTAGACTTAGCAGATGATCCGGCCCTTCTATCCCAAACGCAGCAAAAACTGTGGGAGAAGTCAACCAGTGTAACAGCAGCCTCAGCAGCAGTAGGTCTCAATATACACAAAGGGAAAAGCAGGATTCTCCGATAAAACGCAGCATGCACCAATCCAGTAACAATTGACGGAGAAGATTTGGACGATGTAAAAACCTTTACATATTTGGGCAGTATCATTGATCAACATGTTGGATCTGATATAGATGTGAAAGCGCGGATCGGCAAAGCAAGAGCAGTACATCTACAACTGAAAAACATCTGGAAATCAAAGCAACTGTCAACCAACACCAAGGTCAGGATTTTCCATACAAATGTCAAGACAGTTCTGTTGTGTGGGGCGGAAACTTGGAGAACTACGAAAGCCATCATCCAGACGATTCAGGTGTTTACTAACAGTTGTCTACGCAAAATACTTCGGATCCATTGGTGAGATACTATTAACAACAACCTACTGTGGGGGAGAACAAACCAGATCTCAGCGGAGGAAGAAATCAGGAAGAAGCGTTCGAAGTGGATAGGACACATATTGAGGAAGTCACCCAACTGTGTCACAAGTCAAACCCTCACATGGAATCTCTAAGGCCAAAGGAAAAGAGGAAGACCAAAGAACACATTACGTCGAGAAATGGAGATAGACATGAAAAAAATGAACAAGAATTGGATAGAACTAGAAAAAAAAGCCCAGGACAGAGTGGGTTGTAGAATGCTGGTCGGCCGCCTATGCTCTACTAAGAGTAACGGGTGTAAGTAAATAAGTTAAACAGTAGAAATTACTTGCATTTACATGAATAAACTGTTTCGTATGACAACATTTTGGTTTATGTATCTTTTTTAAAAATATAATAAGCCATTGAAAACATCTCACTTAGAGGCATAATATCGAATTACTTGCATTGATCACTAGTACATTAACTATTTTGTTTGCGTTTCAACTATCTGAATTGTTCTGCTGTCAAAAGTAATTGATATAAAAATTGAATTAAAGGAGATTAGTTGTTTATTAGATTTACATCAGTCTTTTCTATTCTAAATTCATTTTTGATTATGAAATAACATTTGCAAGACACTACGATCGTATGAACTAGTACGTTTCTTGCTTTCTATCAATTTCGATTGTTGTCTGAATATAGAGATGCCATAATTCACTGAAATATTTACTTTCTTTTACTTTTACCTATGCTTCAAACTATCATTTTTGCAACGATTATTATACTATAGACGTAAGGTACAATATTTAAATAAACATGGACCTATTGTATTATATCACAATCCTCGAAGTTCAGCACAGTCCAATTATGGTAGTTCATGTCCACTCAATCAACATTTCATGAATATTACATACGAAGATACATCTAATATTCCTCCATTAATTAAAAAATCATCAAATGCTGCTTACAGTAAACAATTAGAACCAAGTACAATACCTGACGAATATGATGAATGTGATCCACTAGGCATATATTCTGGTACAGGAATATATGAAACTGGATTTCCACCAGATGAGAATACAGAAGGTATTGATAATAAAAATAATCCATTAACAACAACAGGAAGAATATCAGATCCTTTTGATGAAAATGCTCCTCCTTTACCTGATCGATCGGAAACATATGGTTCTCCATCAATTCAAATGGTTTATGACTTCAATCAATCCATGGATAAGAAAAGACCACAATCACCGTCAAACTTAAGTACATTTACAAATAATTTTAATGACTCAACTACATATCGATCTATTATGAAACGTGACCACATAACAAATGTTTCAGCAATTAATTCACCTGTTTTTGAAAATCGGCCAAAGATTTATAGACGAACCTCAAGTGTTTGTGACGCATAAATAATTTATTTTCAGCTTTTAAAATTTACTCATATGGATGGATATTTAATATGACTGACTAACAGCTGAACTTGACAAAATGATTCGTCTCTCTTTTATTCTTCAAAACCAAAACAATTAAGTCTTAACAATCAATATTTTGTAATTTTAATAGTGTTTCCCAATTCCCCTTGTTTTATCATTTATAATGGTTTTGTACTGATTTATCGTTTTTAAATCATAATGATTATTTTATAAATAAATAAACTTGTTTTTAAACCATAATGTTTTAACAAAGTTGATAATTAGGAGATATGGCCAAGGAAGGATGAAAAGTTGGAAAAAAACCGTTTCTGCATGCAAAGTTCAGACTTGAGTTTGTGGATTGCCAATGCCTCTTCAGTGCATAAAATATTGATTTGAACCCCCTTGAATCCAGTTTCTTTGACACTGTTGACTACCTTAAATGAGGAGTCCCTTGGGTATATATATATATAGCTATACCTTTTGAATTATTTTAATACCTTAACGGTTGAACAAGCAATATTCAGTTTCATCATTTTAATCTAAGTGAGACGTATGAAGTAGTTTGAAGTAGAAAATATAATCAATTACAATGAATACTTAAAACACTTTGAATGTTCATTATCTTGTTATTTATAAACTGGATATGTTTATTCAATTTGTATTTTAACTGTTAAGAAATTCTGAAATGATTCATTATGGTGTCATCATACTTCGTACAATCTTAATGTAAATTCTGAAACCAGTTTTCATATGATGATTTATTAGTAAGAATTAGTTCCATATTTACTCAGATCAAACATTGCTTAATTGAGAACCTACGACTCATTAGAATCTAAGGGAATCGCGTTACCAATAGACCGATTTTAATGCTAAAATATTATAAATGCAGTCATTTATTATTCTTAGAGATTATTCAACTTGAGGTCAACGTTTTTCATCATGGGCAGTCATCAATAGAATAAAAATTGGAATCAAGGAGTGATGAAAAGTTTTATTTTAGTTTGTGACTCTTCATTATTCAGTACCTACGACTAGAAACGTAATCCAAACATAACACTTTCAGGGCTTGCCATTCATGTGATGCTTCTAGACTACCTAATTGAAATCTAGTGGTCCATATTTTGAAATTGAGGTACGAAAACAACCTAAAGCTCCTACTGATACTCACCTCACTGATATGGTATATAATCTTACACTACGTGGCTGCACAATGTTCCTCAAGGCACAGTCGGACGACATTTGTTTTTGATGCACGATTATCGCCTAGTTTCTGTTGGAATATCAGTAGGTGATTGTGAAAATATCGAACTTTATTAAGATTATAAACCGATTTAAGTTAGTCAACTATTGAAAATCTAAAAGCAGTAAATGAACATTTCTTCGTAGCATGGGACTGCCCAGAACTGAGTATCCACAATCTCGTTAGCAAGGATTGAATCCTATCCTTTCAGTTTCGCATATGAGCGCTTGAACTCTAGACCATTGATGTGAGATCCAATAGTGTGGTCGTCTAAATTATGTTGGTCTATAACATCGCGCGACCATTATCCTCTGTCTTCAGTAAGTTCTTTCCTAACACTCGACATAGTTGAACCCTATGCATATTTTACATGATCATACTACTAAAATATACTGATAAATTGATGACAAGAATATTTTCAAATATATCTGCTTATATAAATCTAAACTAGAAAGTTTATAACTCACGAAATCACCTCCTACCCCCCACCTCACCCCCAATTCAAGGATACAAAAGCGAAACACAACATTTATAGAATAGATTTTCAAATTCATAAGATTACATTTAGAACTAGTATTGATTTAATAATTTCTATGGAAAATAATAAACCACATACTATTCACAACATAGAAAAAAAAAGAAAAAAAAAACGGAATTATTTACATTGGTTTTTATGTTGAACTATAGGCAACCTAGAAACAAAGTTTAAGAAGTGTTCATATTTACAAATATATATCTATAAAGTATATATTCAATGTTACATTAACGGAATGTAAGTTCATTCAATGAAAGAAAAAAAAAGGCAGAAATTAATCATTAGGATTATCACATTGTATAGGACGAAGATAAGATTAAGATATCAATTAGAAAATTACAAAGCAATAAACATCTTAAATGTCATTCCTTTTTTTATAAAAAAAAATTATTTTTACCATTAAGTCAACTTACCGAATAAATTGAAACATTCTTAAAAAGGAAATTACAGTTACAATCGATTTTCTCAATGTTACACGACAGCAGTATTAAATAACATATACAAAGGATATATATATATATATGGAAATTCCAGTGAAAGAGATCTATATTATCATGAAAGTTGTATCCACAACATTAGAGCATTAAACATTGACAGTCTTTTTCTTCTTCTCATTCTTTCTATGAGCAAAGTTTTTTTTTCTACTAATCTTCTCTTTATCCTAATTCCATCCTAAACACATTTATCTAATCACCAACACATACACGTTTTTCTCCCATGTGTATGGGTATAGTTTCTCCATATTAAAAAATATCCCAAATGACATAAGAAGTCGAATGAAAAAATAAGAGAGCGAAATAAATTTGATCGAAAAATTCAACTATATATATATATATAATACGTAGTCCACCTTATTGGTTTGGAGTTTTTCACGTTTGGTTCCGGTCATTATATTTACTTAGTTTCATCATTGTTCAAGGATAAATATAATATTGAGCAAAACAAACGAATTTTTTTTGTTTTAGTTCAATTCTGTCGTGTGAATAGTGGAAGTGTGTGGATTACGGTATCACTCACGTCAAAAGCTGTGAATTGATACTTTTTTCAAAATAGAGTTGCTTCCGTGTTTTGCTTAACATTTCAAGTATTTCTTTAGTACAGATAATGAAGTTTGTATATTATAATACATAATTTTATACATCATGAATGTTGACTGCGTGATTGGCAAACAGTAGGTGAACAAGATGGATTATTCACAGATGTACAAGGAGGGTAGATGGTGGTGTAATAAATCTGAATAAAAAGATGAAACAATGTCAGATGATTAAAAGTAAAGCAATAAACTCATTTTGTTTATAATGAATTTAAATTAAATAGAGGTAAATTAAATGATACGACTATAACCACCAATCCCTTACCTATGAATAGACTAATATAAATTTGAAGAAACCACTTAATTGAGATTCTCAGTCGACAGAATTTTAGCGAAGTATTTGCAGCTTCTTCGTCTCAGTTTGAAACTCCAAAACAATAGGCACACATTTGCGGTTCATATACGAAAAAGTACTCACAGTTCACAGAGCATTAGGTTATTCAGCACTTCCTAATTCAGTCAATTTTAAGCACAATGAAACAATTATCCAATGTCTCAAGAAGATAAATATAACACTATAGTATTCAATGTCGTTCTGTAATGAAAATTATATTCAAGTAGGGATTGTCCATATTTCAATAAACATGCTCTGTATAGGTTGTTCTCTGATGTAAAATGTCAACAAAATTTCATTTTCACAAGAATAAGGGTGTTATGGTTCGTTATTGCTTGAATGCTATTACTGATGCGTCTTACTCGAACGGAACGAAGGATCAATGATTCAGTGACTCGATAGCTATTCTGGTTCGTTGTCCCAGGCTCTGCTAACTCGATCAAGAAATCTGGGTAAGGTGTGGAAAGTGTATTCTACAGACAAACAGCAGATGACAAGTCAGATCAAGCACACAATCGAGCGTATTTATACAAATATTTACAATCGATATTGTCATGGAAAATTTTTAAACATTAATCAATGAGTTCATTAATTGACTGATATTTAACATTTAATCGATAGTTCATCAATTAACCTATTTGCACATCTAATCGATAGGTTCATCAACTGACTGCCATTCAAACATTTAATCGATAAGTTGATGGATAAGATAAAATTTAAAAATATGAGTTTTGGGGATCTATTGTCCCGAACAAAGTTTCAAATGACTGGAACTAGAAAGGATGAGTAAGTTGCCGTGAAAAAAATATCATAAAATGCCCTTGAACCAAAGATTATATTAATCTAAGAAGAGGACTAAGTTACATTGATAAGTATAATATACTATATTGAAAAAAACAATACTGCATCAAACCTTCTCCAAACCATCTGATATAATTGTATAGTAACTTCTAAGTAGTATTTTCGTCACCGTGATTATATGAATAAGGTATATAATGTTTATTGCAGTTTTACCAGTCAAAATTGAAATTTGGAATGGCTGTTTGTCTAAATGATATGTAAACATTTACCGTGGATAAGCATATGTTATTGGAATATAGATAAGATTAAAGGAAGTTCCATGCAGGAATGTGTTGGGGCACGCAGATTAGCTAATTCTTACCCAATATTTGGGGAAGAATCTAGAATCTTATGTAAAACTATAAATATACTAGAATTTGTCTTATCGGGATTCCTACTTCTATCTACCCTTGTTATTTGGAGTATAATTACTTTCCTGTTAAACCGTGTTCTGATTTGGGGACTTGTCATCTGGATTGGTGTCCAAGAATATTAATCATTAGGAATAGCTGGGTCGTAATAAGAGAAATTATAACAACCTAATTCCTGTTTCCTGGAAAGCTATTAAATTTTTGGGTCGCAAAGAGATTATGTTAATAACAACAATAAAATTGTCAGCAACTCATAGTTATTAGCTGATGCGTTCACTTACATTGGATGTGTAAACGATGTGCAGTATAGTTAGTTGTCTTCTACAGCCTATGTAGTTGAAATGTTATCCATTTCGTTTAGCGGCTAATTGTTTTATCATGATGTTGTCATAAAAAATGTGAATGAAACCTTGTGCACAAATTACATGCGATTCAATTACATACCTTTTAAAATATTTCGAACTTCTTCACTGGTAGACAGAATATACATATATATATATATATATATATATATATATATATATATATATATATATATATATATATATATATAGCATATTTAAACTCCTTAGGTAGACGGTAGTTTGTTAATACCATAGATGAGATATAATAATAAACTATGGTAAGTTTGAATTCAGTTCAATCGTAATCAATGTACGCTTAACACATGTTGATCAATATCCTGTTATTGATTACAGATCTTCACCGAAACATTAAAAAGATTCACATAGTAACAAGATCACATACAAAGTTTAAATATTATTAGTAAGACAAATCATATACGAATAAAATGGGATTTGCAATTCATTATAATCTGCCTTTATAATAAATAAATATAAAACAGAACCCTCGCTCTTCACATTAACTTTTGACATTAATCCTGAAAATATATTCAAACTCAATAAAATAATTTTCCATGGTTTTTTTTTCACCTCACCTTACGTACTGGAATTCGTATTATTATACGTCCCAATATTGAAATCATATGCAAACAGACTAATAATCCACCCATAGCCATCATTACTGTTAAACTAGTTAATAATAAACGATAAATAGCATTAATTAAAGTTGACAAACTTCCAATTGATGTAGTAAGTTGTTCATAGTTGAAATCTAATTGATTTCCATCAACTTGACTGTTTGATTCTGTTTGATTATTATTTGAGGTAATTTGTTCATTAGTTTTTTTAGTGCTCATTTGATGGGATTGTTCGTTTAAACTAGTCATTCTTAATAAACGTGATAGATGACCTTTAAAAGAAAAAAAGGTGAAATTAAGGATTTGACTATTAAAACATAAGAATTTAATCTAAACAATCAGTTGCTTAAATGAGATAAATGAAGCTAAACGCATGTAAATATCATATGGTTTTCTGCTTACTGATGCAGATATAAGATGGAATGTGAACTATAAGAATGTGATATCTAGGAAAGTAGTTGTAGATATTGTTGTATGTGGGTACATACCTGTATCGTGTTCTTTAACGTATATTTCTAACAGTTTTTCTTTCTTTAACACAAGTCACTTTAGTGGTAATATCTACGTAATCTAAATGATGACCTGATCTCATCTAGACTGCTATTGGAAATCAGAGATTACCAAATGTCTGTATTATCCTAGAACAAAACTCCTCAGCAGTGTATATTCACGGCTTCACTACAGAAAATAGAAACCATAACAAAAAAGTTATCGTCTTATTCCAATCAGTTTATGATATTGCGCAACATAATATTTTTAATTGAACACAATAAAAAGTAAAACGTGCTTAGAGAGTTTAAAAGGAAAAGTAACATTTTTTTGAAGATATATGGAGAGTTATGTACTGAACTACAGATATTCCATATGGAAAACCCTGATTCTGATTTTTGATTCAAAACTACTTCACGCTTTGATAAAAATGTTACTGTTAATATGTTTAAAAAAGAAACTGACTCTAACAGTAATGAACAAAGTTCGCTAGTCATTCATTGATTTTCTGTAGTCTATCAGTTATAACAGAAGATTTTGCTCATGTATGTCTGCATCAAGTTAACCTCTGATTATGACTGAATATCTACCTGAATTTTTAACACCTATTAACAGTCAAGTTATTTAAATCTATCTTTTTTAAACTTTTGAAAGGATGTAGTTGGATCAACCTTAATATATACGAGCTAAACGCACATAATTCAGTGAAAATTCTTTGAAATTACTTGAATAAAGAAGATTGTAAACGAAAATCTCATATGTATAAGATTCAATGGTGAATAATTATTAAAAATTTCCTACTTTTTCATATTTAATCCTGATGTGATATCAGCTTATAATGTGAACCTTTAAAAAGTTATTTATTTTCGAAATTAAGTAATTCTACATGAGAGCTACTTATGTATTCATGCACTATCTAGCAATATTACTCACTTTCAGCATAAGTAGCAGGAACAACTGGGGAGAAATGACATACTGGAGTTTTTAGTGTATGTTTAATTTGTTTATTTGTTAGCGGATCCAACTTCCAGTTAGACAAAATCAATAATGCTTGTTCAGTCAACTGAAAATTAGGACCAATTAGTTCACAAGCTGAAAATGTTGAATTTGTATCCGTTATCTCTGGTACATGGATTCTCACAGCATGTTGATCTAAGACATAATAATGATTTACCAATCCTTTTTGCAGTAAACATAATTCTGTGATAAACTGTAATTGTATCTGTGTCTGAAATTGAATTGAAAACAGATTATGTATGCATTAATTAGCTGCAAAAAACAAACATTTATTAGAAATTTTACTATAGGTAACATGAAAATAGTTTACAACACGAATTTATTTTGACTTTGAGGCGATTGATAGTTACGGGTCAGTGAGGAACTTTAGACACAGTATGAAAAGTCTTATCAGTGAGCACTCCTCAAGGATGAAATTTTAATGCGTTTATCCTCTCTACGAGCTAAATTGATCATTAGAACACTGAGTTAGCGCCCAGTAACCTGCACTTCCAACTTCACTTAATTCATTAATTTTTTTAACTGGAACAGATTTCAGTACTATTCGAAATAACTCACAGCTTGAAAAAAATAATCTTTCATAAAAATATGTTTTTTGCATGTTATTAGTTTAAACGCGCACCGGAAGTTAAGTAGTTCAGTGAATAACTATGATCGTATAGACAAACATTTTTAGTTTTGAAAATAAACTCATTCGAAATATATTCTATTAAATGAAGCACGTGGTTACGATGTATTTATCTTTTTTTTCAATATTTTAACTTTAATTAAATTTTTCATACATCACATTGCTAAATGTTCACGTTAGTTTCTAACCACAAGTTTCTCTTTAATTATTTCATATTCCATTTCAAAACATCACTGGTTGTAATCCATGAAGTCAGAACCTAATGATATAAAATGTATTCATATTATTCTAATAATTGAATTCATGAATCAATTGAAGTTAGACCACCATTGCTAAAAACCTGGAAGCTCTGGATGGCCGTTTCATTCTAGTATGGAACTCCTCAGCAGTACGCGTCCACGATCCCACCCGTGGGAATCGAACCCAGGATCTATCAGTCTTGCGCGGGAACGCTTGAACTTTAGATCACTGAGCCGGCATCCAACGTTGTTAATGTCTAACTTCAACCAATCCACGAAATTGCGCCACCATCCGCCATTGATTTATAGGTCATGTGTTCGTATCTTGCGGAGAGCGGGATCGTGAATGTGCATTGCTGAGGAGTTCCACAGTAGGACGAAAAAGCCGTTCAGTGCTTTCAGGTCTTCCATGGTGGTCAAGCTTCAACTGACTTATGAGTTCAACTATAAAATTACTAGAATCTCCACAAAACCCCTTCTGATTCTTTATAATTTAGTTTGTTTTTAGCTGGTATGGTTTGGAAAAATAAATTATTTCATATTATTCTTGAAAGATCGCTATTCTTGTCATGTTGTATTCAACCATTAAAGGTGAAAAATAACTTTTTTTTTCATTTTTTAATTCATTCGTATTGGTTGCTTGAGCAAGCCAGTAGGTATCTGGACTCAGTAGACAAGTAGATAGCGCGATGGCGTCTGTAGATAACAGTACTGGGTTCGAGTCTTAAAGTGAACATCAACTTTGAGGTGGAGTTAAATCCATCTGATGTAACCGAAATAGGAAAAAACGCATCATGGATTTCACCACTAGACACCATCCACCTCTGTTTATGATTTTTATTCTTTGCTATTTATTTTAAACCAAGCTCAATCATAGGATATCAGTCAACATGGTCATGAAATATCAACTCTCAGATCGACCAAGTTAATAAACATTGATTATCGTTCAAGATAGACATTGTCTCTTGTTTGCGAATGCGTAACGAACTTACGGTATTATGAATCATTAGAACTTCTTGTTCATTACCTTAGTTAAGGTCACCATTTTTTGGTTAGAATAAGAAATTGAAAACTAAGTGTCCCTGTAAACAAAATAACTTATTTGAACAGAAGAAAAGTAAACGTAGACTTTTCTTGTAAATACTCTAATGGTCTGAAATTTTGAGGTAATGTGTATACTGGTCATTTGATTAAGTTTAACCGTAAATAAATAAAGTAATGTAAATTATAAATGAAGTTACTAACGAACGCTGTAAGTCGATCATATTTAAGATTTATTACTGCTTTACTGTTGGTTCTTTTAAAAGACCGGTAGTATGATAGTTGAGAAACTACAAACTTCTGTACTCTTCACTGTTTAGTACAAAAAACATAACTATTAAAGAACAGTACCTTTATACATTTGATTGGGAATATTCTCAAGACATCTTATTTAATTTGGATCATAGGCATATTTTATGGCTTTTCCACTTATTTTTAAGACACATACATGATGTTGTTTCCCAAGTTGAAGCCATGATTCCTCATAAAAGTAGGTAGTATATTCGTTATGAACGATGAAAAGTGCATATGATTTGTTTTTTTTTCAAAAAGGACTCTAGTTTCACTTAATTATCGTTGACTTTAGACAGTCTGAAAATAGTAGTCCTTTAGTTTCCATTATGTGTTTTGCGCCTACAGTTATTTTGTAGAGCTTTACAAATTCATATGGAAAATGAAAGCTAATCATCCAGGGCGGAAGCTTAGTTAATAAATAAATTATTCTGTCAACAATAATTACGTTACCCAAGAACATCATATGAATCAAATATTAAGTTCATTATTGAGTATGAAATTTAAATTTTAGTCAGTAATGAAGTTTTTCTAAAGTTCCGAATGATCTTTATGTTATCAGGGCTAGACTATATTTTATGGACGAGTCATTCAGAAGCGTTTGAAGGATTTCAAGGTCACGGCGCTAACTTCAGTACTCAATGATAACGTACTATCGGTTCACGGAGAATTTTACACAAATAAGACGGCGAGACTATAATTTGTGGACGAACCAATCAGGTATAAGTTAACGGATATTGGATTTTGGCGCAAAAGTCTTCCATCCATTTGGCTAAATAGTTTTGGCATTTTAGCTGATGTCAGTTCGTGATGAAAGCCCTATATATAACTCTTAACTAAAGCAAATTATGAAAATTATTGTGAACTGCATAATAAAAGCTCAAGTAACACTGCAGCCAGGTACTACAATATATACGGCTGATTGGAGAGCATACAGACTCCCAAATAAGCTTGGTTATGTGCATCGTGTCGTTATCCACAAGTGGTATTTTGTGTACTCAACAACTGGAGTGCACACAAACAATATTGAAACTGTTTGGTCGAGGCTGAAGACTTTTGCGACCTTATCATGGCTCCAGACGCCGACTATTCTATAGCCATATTGATGATTTTCTCTGCTGCATGCATTACGATTTTAGAACCTCTGAACCTCTTTATAATCTTGACAAGTTTCTGAACTATGTATAAGAAGTGTATCCACTTTATTTTTTTAATTTTTTATAATATATTTTTATTCTATGCTGACTGTTTGCTGAAGATCATTTAAGATTCGTTTATAGGTCGTCCATAAACTATAATCTTGCCATTAACGGTTTTCGTGAATGTAAACCCTAAATTCCAACAAGTAGAACATTTCAGTTTTCAGTATCAAAATGGTGTCAGCAAAGAAACTAAAAAAAGTTATCTTATTTTAATTTTATGAACCACTATTCAGAAATTAATATATTTGAATATCGAAAATATAATTCTGTACTTGGTTTATTGTATAGTGTGTTAAAATAAACTGCTAAGTTACTAAGAACTTTATGATATTTCATGATTTTACATTTAACTAGTAAAACATTTCCTTTATATTAAATCCAAGTGTACTCTGACTTACGGGGGTAATATAAGCATCATAATGATAGTATTTCAATCACATATCCATTTAAACATTCCTTAATTAGATTAGAAATGTTTACAACATTGATGGATCGTCAGATTTCTGGACAATAAATGCATTAATCGTTGAAATGAGTACACACGTTTTCAAAAGAATATCATATTCAGTCATTAGCGCAACGTTTACATTGTCTATAAATAAATAATCTAATAACGTAAACGTAATGACTCATTCTAAATATATTTTACCCTTTTATAAACAATTTTAAGAAGATTAATAGGTTTCAGGACAATCGCAAGAAAAAGAACTAAAGTATGTAATAAATTAACTTGATATTGTTGAATTGAATCTACCCATTGATGTTTAGAACTGCAGGTACCTTCTACCTGAAGTTTGTGCTGCTGATGATGTCGTTCAGAAGAACAATGAAAGCTCCACGACCAAAACATTCAGCTCAGAGAACAAAACTTCATCCAAATCATTCACTCGAGCTACATATCTTCTCCACTATCCATCTTTGTTTAGAATGCTTGTGAATTAAGGCAATATCAAGGCAATACTCACAGTATGCACATATGCCAATAAGATACTGATAAATTACAGTCTTAAACATCTATGGAAAAATTCGAGTAAACAATACCTAGTGAATTTAAATTTCTACTCAGTGCACAACTAATTAACCACCGGGACTCAGCAGCTAAGTGAATAACGTGATGGCGTTTGAAGCCGTACTGGGTTCGAGTCCCAACGTGAACATAAACTGTGAGATGCAAGTACATTCAGCTGACGAATCCCAAATAGGCCGTAACGCGCCACTGTCCATCTTTGCATGTGAAGCAAGTACTGACTAAAAAATTAGGATTGTTTTGTACTTTGGGATTATTTTTTCCACGTTGATTAACACAATAACTGACCTTAATCTTCAGTGAACATTTGATTTCCACAATAAATAGATACAGACTTTTAACTTCTCTTTCAGATATCTTTCAATCAGCTATTAAAAAATCACAGTTCTATCATAAACTTTACATAAAAAATTTAATCGTCTGGATATTAGTCAACCTCGGTCTCCATTCTTTGACCGAGGAGTTTATTTACATAACCTTTATTGATAACGTTATCTGTACACTCATTTAACTAACTCTTTAAAACAATTCCTCTTTTCTACAAATTTTTCCAATTCCGCCTGTAGTCCCTCCGGGGGCTACTGCGTGTTTAAGCCCGGATAAAGAAGGAGGGTTGGGCATGAAGTTAGCGTTCCCATCTCGTAGAAACCTAACTCTCTAAAAATACGCTAACCAGAAAAATAAACAAATTTTTCTAAGAGTAGTGAATAGATCTAATCTATTCAAAAATGAATTAACTTACTTGTACATGCTCTAGTCTATTAGTCAATTGATTGATCCAATAAGCTTCTTTAGCTGCGTTAATTTTAGCAGATCTTATCAAATCCTTATTTATATGATTCGGTTGAATGGTTTTCAAGATAGCATTTGTTCTTTGTCTACAGTCTTCAAGTGCACGTGATCGAGCTAATACACCGGTCCTATAAGATTAAATAAATATTTACTAAAAATACTAGTCAACTGACAATATTAAAAAAAGATAAAAATGTTTTCTACTAAAAAAAATATTGGTGTAGCTGTAATTTATGGACGACCTTTGAGCGATACTAAAGTGACTTTGAGAATGTCCACCTACAAACTCGGACTAAATGAGGGTTATAAACCAGTGTGGAGAATTAGAATTATGATATACAGTCGATAGTTAAGGTTAGAGATTCAATTTAAGGTTTTCATCACGAACTGACATAAACTATAATGCCAAAACGTTATTTCACCAAATGTATGAATGAACATTCAACACTCGCTATCATATATCTGATTGGTTCGTCCATAAATTATAGTCTTGCCAATCATAAATTTAAAGTAAATTTACGAAATCTAAAATGTATAGGAATAAAGGTACGTTTATTTGGGAGTGTTTAGTTTCATTAACATTAAAAACCAAGGAATTAACTGATCATTTTCTTGATGCGTCCTTTAGTTTAATTTATCCATGTTACACATTTATTACATTGATATCTAAGCTCTGAATAAAGTTTGTTCGTAAATACTGTGATTATTCAGTCATTTCAATGGTTTCACGATATTGAACCTTTTACGATTGATGAACATATGGATATATACAAATATTCGTCAAGATTAGAATGAATAGTTTGACAAAAATTGGGCACCAAGTATAGAGAATTCACTATATATGAAAGTGTGTATTTGAAATAATCTCAGTGATTGAAATTTAGATAATTCCAACGTTTCGTTCAGCAAACTTGTTTGAACTTGTCTGAACCCTAAAGAAGTCCAGACCTCTTATTTGTATTTTCAAACAATCATCTAAGATAAAATCATTATTTAAGAGGTTGTTTCTTAGATCTTTTTTCTTTCTTTTTGAGTTGGGTTATTATAAAAGTTTATTATTTTCCTTACCCTCACTTCCTTTTAGCCTTAATTAATAAGATTTTTCTTGTTGTTTCCTTTTTCAAATATTCCTTAAAACTCTTGGGAATAGTTTATTAGTTGGATCGTTCTATAAGCTCATTAACTACATCTGTCAGCTGTAACATTAAAAAAAATTATATTCTTGATTTTAATTTATGAGTTTGAGCAGCTTTTGTAAGAAGCGGGAATTTTCATAGTTAAACGTTATTATAAGAAGAGAATGTTTCAGAATCACATTCACAAAAACAATGAAACATTGTGTTTATATTATTCATTTGTTGAATTTAATCAATACGAGTTAGCGAATAGATTCTTTGATGTAATTCCTTTACACTGCTGATAGTTCAAAGCTTAGTTTACGTTTATTAAATGATGTATAATTTTTGTGTGAATGTTGAAAGCTTTAGCTACAACCTGTATCATGAAGCAATTGAAGGAAACGTTGAATTACATGGACTGAATCTTTAGAAAGAAAATGAATTCATTACTGATTAATTGGATTTCTTTGTTGATCACCACTTTCTGGAAGTTGCCTCTAGTTACATCTTGAATTTTCAAAAACCATATTTTTTTATATATTTACATACTTAACATATATCTGAGTGTTCACTGGATCGAGATTATATATATATATATCACTTTGAACGTTTTCAGTATACGTTATTGACAATCATGAAAAAAAGCCTTTAGCTGATCCCACTCTCTACAATAATCCACACTTTTAAATAAATAATTAATCAGATTTAATATTAAAATAATAAATATGCAATTGATTGATCACTGAATAGTGACCAATATCATATTTATCCACTCCTTTTAGTAATGATCGATATCTGATCGATCATGTTGTAATATCACCACTAGTTAAAATGATTTGATAATACATATAATTTGTTGAGATGTTAGATGGTTGAAGGTAATTTACAGAGAACCCTGTTATTAGTAAGTCGGACCAGTTGTCTTAAGAGTTTCCAGTCCATTACCTCCAGACAAGCAAACTCTCAACAGAAAGTCTATTTCAATCACTTTCGAAATGATAGCTTTGTAAGTTCTGCTGAACAGCGTTAACGTTAAAAACAATATCCAATTACAGCTTGGATATTAGTTAAACACAATAAGTGTCTATCAATCAATCAAAATTAAAGTTAACAGATTTTATATCACTTCTGACTAATAAAAGCCGGTTTTGTGCTTTTCTTCTAAGTTAAATTTCATTAAGTTGTCGTACCTTGTGTATTAGTTTTCTGACACTATACTTAAATTCAGTAATCATTGTGGCATATACCATGATATATGACAAACACACGTTAGTTTGACTTGTGAAACTCAAGCTTTGCTGTACTGGAGTTATTTGTGAGTAAACTTGAGCTAGTTCCCTGATATCCGTGACAAAGTGAAATTTCTCATCTCCTTTTTCTAATATTTAAGGAAAGTGAAAATACTTGCATCTGGAGATCGGATTCGAATTTCATTGATAAATACAGAACAATACATTCTGTGGTATAGTTCTTCTGTCTGTTTTTGAAACATAAGTAATCCATTCATCTGGCATTTACTTTAAACCGTTGAAAAGTAACATAGTGATTCACATTCATAACTTCAATCAGGTTGTAGCTTAGTGAGTGAGTGCTTCACATCTGTTTTAAATGAGGTTAATCAATTACAACGTCTCACTAAAACTTAACATATTCGTCCGAAAACCAGTAAACAGTCAGTAAATTTAATAAATCTGTATAAACCTATTATCTTGATGAAAATATCTTTATCTGAAGATAATTCTAAATAGTGGCGTGTCTTCTATGAAACATGAATATACGATCATATTTTAAGTTGAGTGTACTTACTTCTGAGAATACAGAAACTGAAAAAAAGCATTCTACTTCCCACCATATGATAAAACCTAGTTAAAGCAATCTTCATATTTTATTGTGACTAGTACTTATTGCAAATTACGCAACTCTGTAAGTGTTATCTACAGAGAAATAAAGAGTAATCTTCACTTTATTTTTTTCTCTGATAAACAAAGTATAAACAGCCACATGAAGTGGTTGGTGAAAAAAAGAAGAACTAAACGCAAAACCTCCTTAAATTATAGTTACTGATTATTCCATTTATATTTATATCTAAATTGCTCGTTAGAAAAAGAAAACGATTAAAGTGCTTATAAGCTTTGTCATAGTCAGTATCATCTAGTTTAACATCAAATGCTCATTAGGTATTATGTATATTATTTCATTAGTGTTATATCTTCTGTTTGTATATATGTATATACAGAGAGAGAAAGAGGGAGAGAGAGGGAGGGAAGGAGATGTAAATGCCAGTTAGTGTTATCGTTTTTGTGTATGCATTTCCAATGGATTCCGGTAGACATTATTTAAATCCAGTGTATTGTTTGTTTGTTTTGTTTTTTTTTTTGTAAAAGGAAGATGCTTATCTACAAGGTAATAAATTGTTTCACTTATTTGGATTATTTTTAAGACCTGATAAAAATCTGTGTTAAAATTTAAAAATTCAGTATTGTCTAATTTTAGCTGAAGTAGAATCAGTTCCTTTAAGTGATTTTGCAATTATAATCAGAAGGGATGTTCTGTGGAGAATTTAGTAATTTCAGTTGTGGAGATCATGAATCAATTGAAGTTAGACCATCATGGAAAACCTGAAAGAACTGGACAGTCGTTTCGACCTACTAAGGGACTCTTCAGCAGTGCGCATTCACTATCTTGCCTTGCAACACTCAAACCCATGACCTATCAGTCCTGACCGCGAACGCTTAAGTACTATACCACTGAGACGGCCGGCATCCAACGTTGTTAATATCTAACTCCAACTTATCCAAGAAATTGAGCGACATATTCACCACTGTCATCAGTGAGTTACTATTTCACAACTGACCCGGTTTAACTCCACTGTTCACTGCTTCTCAATAGAACTCCAGGATATACCGTGGATATATCGTGGATGCGCACTTTTGAGGAGTCCCACAATAGGATGAAACGGCCGTCTAGTGACTCCAGGTTTTCCATGGTGGTCTAGCTTCAATCGACTCATGATCTCAACAATTGAAATTTACTATTACACTTTATAATCATTCTATATCTATGTGAAATCTCATCACTTTAGTTAAAATCTATTTGACTTCACAAAATAATGAAATATGAATAGACTTCAATGGTTTATGATGAATATTTTTAATAAAACTAAAAAGGAGAGTAAATATGGTGTTTAGTAAAGTTTGTTAGTGATTATTCGTGGAATTCAGGATGAATGTTAAGTCTTGTTTGAAGTTCATCAGTTGGATGCACCTGGAGCTTCATTTAGGTATTCGGTATGTTGCAAGTACATTCAGCTAATGAGTCCTAAATGGTATTATTAGATAGGAGTAGTGAGACAAATTATTGAAAATCCACTTATGCTAATAGAGGTAGTAGTCCTTAACTCTAACAGTAAGATACAAATCCTTAAAAACTAAATATGATTTGTGTTATCCTTACAAACATTTTTTTGATTTTCTACTGAGTTAATGTAATCTAATAACAAACAGTTTCATAGCCTATATTTGAAACTGGACAGCAAAATGCAAAAATGCTCGCTTCAGGTACACTGCATTTGAAGGAATTATCCCCTTTGGTAAATTTGGATAGTGTAACAAGGAGACGAAGATTATCAGAATTATTTATTAACTCATGTGACAAGATTGCTTTTAATAAGTCTGATATGTCAGCGTTCAAACACATATTTATCAGCCACTTCCAATCCCCTAGAAGTTCTCTATCTTAGAACCTCGAGCAGGGTCAGAATGCTTTATTTCGAAGGTTAGAGTAAAAAATGAAAATGAGGGTGTTTACTAGATTGCATTTCATTTGGATAACTGTCAGATTAATATAAAGAAGGGATAACCAAAAGCTTGTTTGTATTTCTCTTGGAACTTTCCAAAAAACGCAACCAAATTATCCTCAAACTTTACCTGAAATCTGAACACTTTCAAGCAGCTACTAAGGGGTAATAAGTAGTTTACTGAAATTAGATCGTCATTAAATGTATTTTACTA